AAATAACCATACTACATACATTTTCAAATGTCAGAAAAAAGGATATCCTTATTATATTCCCTTTAACTCTTTGCTGTGTAGAGATTTTAATATAAATTGAAATTAATTATTTTTCTAAGATGGAAACGTCTTACCTTCCCATATATTTTAAACAACATTTCTTAAAATTTGCATATTAATAAAACATAAATTTCATGAGAGTATGAGCTCTGTCTTATTCTATTTCTCATTGCCTAAAACTCTAATAAATATTTGTTAAATAAATGAATGAAATTTGAAATAATTCAATAAATCCAATACAGTAAACCCAGTTGAATCATTATTGTTCCAGAATATCTTGTCTAAAGTTCATCTTTCCAAACAGGAAGTTTCCTTATATTGTATGGTAAAGTTAAATGCAGGTAGTTTAAGCATTTAAGTGTAACTATACTAATTTTAGGACATATTCTTACATTTGACAAAACACTTGTTACCACATTTTTTTTTTTCCTTTTTCTTTATCTCTTTCTCACAGGAGTGCAATGCAAGTGCATTTTCAGGTAACTAACCATAACCCTAGTTAGCAGAATGCCAGTTAATCAAGTTTAACTATTCAAAGACTCTTGCTTTAAAAGATTTTTCTTTGTTTTTATGGATGCTTTGGCGATCTAGTAAAGAAAAAATTCTATACAAGTAATACTATATCATAGACATATACTCCATCTATGAAATTATACCTTAAAACAAAGGCCTTGTATGTGTGATATCTGCATCACAAACAAGGAGAAATAAGCAGAGGGAAAGGGGTTTTTATTCTTCCCATTCCTATGATCATTTCTACCTTTAAAAAATAGTGCTAATAAATTTCCAAATTATACATTGTAGCAAATCAATTAGTGGAAAAATTTCAGATAAAAGTAACTATAAAGGAAGTGAGTGATTTACCTGAATAAAAGTACTTTTCAAAGACTTTATTAAATAACTACAGCATCTCTGGGCTTCAACAGTGTTTTTTTGTTTTGTGAGACAGGATCTCGCTCTGTCACCCAGACTGGAGTGGCTCAATCTCAGCTCACTGCAATATTCACCTCCCGGGCTCAAGGGATCCTCCTACCTTAGCCTCCAGAATACCTGGGACTATAGGTGGGTGCCACCATGCTTGACTAATTTGTTTTAAATTCTTTGTAGAGATAGGTTCTCCCTATATTGCCTAGGCTTCATCTTTGTTTTAATCTTATTTCTTAAATATTTTAAAAATACAATATTTATTTTTACAAAATTTCATTTTTAAAAAACTATTTTATTTTAAAAGTTCTAAAATAAGAAAAGAGGAAATAATAATAAAATAGAAATGAATATGTTATATAGAAATTAACAGGATGTCAATTTCATTTGTGCTTAGTCTTACTGAAACTTAAAGAGAAACAGATAATACTAATAATAGTATTTTTCTAAATTGTATTTTAAAATCTTATTTATATTATTATACATTTGCATTGTAAATTCTTTTTTTTTTTTTTTTTTTTTTGAGACAGAGTCTTTTACTGTCAGCCAGGCTGGAATGCAATGGTGTGATCTCAACTCACTGCAACCTCTGCCTCCGGGGTTCAAGTGATTCTCCTGCCTCAGCCTCCTGAGTAGCTGGAATTACAGGCACACACCACCACACATGGCTAATTTTTATATTTTTAGTAGAGACGGGGTTTCACCATGTTGGGCAGGCTGGTCTCGAACTGCTGACCTCGTGATCCACCAGCCTTGGCCTCGCAAAGTGCTAGGATTACAGGCGTGAACCACTGCACCCGGCATAAATTCTTAATTAATATAACTATTGGGGATCTAGCTTTCAAATTTCCAATTCTGAACAAGGTGGAAATAAGATATGTTGTATTTGAAAATTGAATTGCATCATGAAATAGAAATGCTGTGTGCCAACAGATTATCGGCAAAAGAACAAAATTAAAAGTATACTCTTTTTACTATAAGCAAACTACATAAAGTTTATGTAAATAAAAATATCTTGGCCAGGCGTGGTGGCTCATGCCTGTAATCCCAGCACTTTGGGAGGCCATGGCGGGTGGATCACAAGGTCAGGAGTTCGAGACCAGCCTGGGAAATATGATGAAACCCCGTCTCTACTAAAAATACAAAAATTAGCCACACATAGTGGCGTGCACCTATAGTCCCAGCTACTTGGGATGCTGAGGCAGAAGAATCGCTTGAACCCAGGAGGCAGAGGTTGTAGTGAGCCAAGATCATGCTACTGCACTCCAGCCTAGGTGACAGAGCAAGACTCCATCTCAAAAATAAATAAATAAAATAAATAAAATCTTATAAAAATACAATATAATTATAAAATATGTTTGGAAATATCAAATATGAGCTTTGGCTAGCCTTATTTTTGGTATCCACAAGTACAGTGTGTAGTACATAATGCTTAATAGATGGTTAATTGAATTGTTGAAATAAATATAATTCTTACATTGCTGGTTTAAATCTTTTTATATATTTCTAATTACACTTAAAAGTAAAAGATTACTACTTTTAGTATTTAGTGAATATACATTTTGAAAAATAAACATACTTATTATGCTCCTGCTTTTTTGTTCATTTCATATGTTGATGATTCATATTATATATGCATTTCCTTAATCTGTTCTCCAAAATCTCACATAAATTTTCAACCATAATTTCCCATCATTTACCTGTAACACATCTATACTGAAATAAAAATTGCAACAATGTTTTACAGTGTGATTCTCCAAATAATATGCACTCTTGGAATAATGAAAGTGAATCTGCCATGTTAAATGCTGTGCATAATTTAGAAAAATTTGTATGACTTTTAGAATTTGTTGCTCTCCTTCACAGCAATTTTGTGTAAATATTTCCTCATACTACTTCATCCACAGTCCTTCCTCAAATGCTTCCATTTAAACTTAAATTTTAAAAGTTCCCCTTTTACTCATTTCACAGTTGTCATAGACATTATCATTCTTGGCTCAATAAAGTAAGTCATGTTTTCAAAAACTAAAAAAAAAAAAAAAACATTCTTTTTTTTCTGATATTGTGCTACTTCCATCTTCTCTCCTTACCGAAAACAAAATTTTTTTCCCAAACACATTTTCATGCCCATTCTTCTTATTTGAAAGAGCTGCCTTCCTCTATTATTTCATTCTCATGAGTAAAGGTATGAAAAATATTTCTTGCTCCCTGGGTGACTTCTAAACTATCATCACTCTTTCCCTTCAGAAGTTGGACTTTTAATAAAACAACAAACAAACAAACAAACAAACAAAAAACTGGCTAGTTAGTTTCAAGAAGATGATGGGAAAAATAATACGAAGAAAAAAAAGTTACTATAATTGAAAATCAACTCAGGTGATAATCAGCAGGAGTTGCTCATCCTTAGAGCTGCCTGGGCTCCTGTTGGCTTTCTAGGTCTTGTGTATCATGAAAGAGACCTTCATTATCTAAGACAGTCTCCCTTTCTTGCAACCAAAAGGGCCTGTTAACATGGCCCTTCATTTGCTAAGGACTATGGCACCTGGCTCATAGACCTTTCCACCCCAACTGCTACCAGAAAGGTAGCATTACATGGCAGTTAAAGACAGGAGCTCTGAAGGCAGACTGCATGAGACGTAAGTACAATTCTGTGGTATCCTAATTAGGGAAAAGGAGTCAGGCTAGTGGGAGCAGGGGAAAGCAAAAAGAAAAAGCAGATAAGCTACAAGGACACATAGCCCTCCTGCACAAATAACTCTCAATATTCCTGTGCCCAACTATCACCAGACACCTGCAAGTTAGCGCACTGTAACCTTGGCATTATCAGTACTGCACAAAGCCCTCTTCAGCATACAGCATAAACACCATCCTATAAAATATCCAGCAAGCCCTTGTTTCTTTGAAGTCAGCTTCCCTTCCACTGATCCTGCCCATTGTCTCCCTGGCAACGTATTTTCCTACTTTCTCTAGCAAATTTGCCTTTCTTTTGCCTACAACGGTAAACTCTTTTGCCCCTGCACCACCGGCCTAGATAGCCACCGCTCCCCCATGACAAATCTAATATGGATCAGGTATGTAAACCTCTCTGCTTCACTTTCCTTAACCATAAAATGAAAATAATAGTACTGACTTCTAGGGTTGTGGTAAAGTCTAAATGTGTTAATATGTGTAACATGCTTAGAAAAGCGCCTGACACAGAGTAAGTACCCAATAAATGTTAACTATTAGTAGTAGTATCAATATGGACAACACTTCAAAATCTATGTAGTTGACTCATCCAACAACTTAGATTCAACAACTTAGAGCTCCTCAAATGTGTCAAACATCATTCACCCTCTACTTCCTCTACCAACTTTCATAGCCACACCCTGCACTTTAGGGCTTTATACGTTTCATGTTGTGTAGTTAGCAAGGGTTTTCCAAATAGACTAAGTCACCTGAATTTTGATTGCCCACTATTCACCAAATCCCTTCAAGGCATTCTCTGTATGCTACACAGTAAGCTTTGTGAAGCATAAATCTGGCCATACCTACCCTATATTACTCCATTCTTTATATAGGTAAAGCCTAAACTCTTTTTCTTGGAATATAGGCTCTCCAGATTTGAAGACTGCCTCATTATCTACACTTTTGCTCTCACATACCCTTTGAACTTTCTCACATTATCTTCATATTTAAGTGTGCTGCTCCAGCTTCTAAGCATGCCCTCCCTGTCCTCATACCCCATTCCCCAGTCACTTATTACCCTATATGCTGTAGACCCATTCAGCTCCATTGCAGCCTCTTCCCTATTCAATCAGTCCATCACTAACAAAGAAAGGGAGGGAGGAAGACAGGAAGAAAAGGAGGAAAAGGGAAGGAAGGGGAAGGGAAGGGGAGGGGAAGGAATGGGAGGGAAAGGGACAAATAATGAAGCTTTTATGCTCTAATCTTTCTCCCCTAGATATACAAGACAAAGAGCAAAATACACTTCACTAAAATCGAATTTTTACATGAATGTTCTTTCCTTTGTTCTTTTGGTTGCTGGTTCACAAAAACTTTTCATATTCGTATGTCTTTCCAATGGTTACTCTGTTTTGTTCATTTCAGGCATGTGGCCCTGATCAGATTAACTGACATGATGTATATGCAAAGCCTTTTGAGTTCTTCAGAAAAATAAATTATCTTAGTCAAGACTGGTTATAAGGAACTTCTTATAACTAATGTAGTACGCACAATTTGTTTTTTTGTAATTCTCCTAGATGAGTCAGAACTTAGTTTTGACATAGGTAAAAATTTTATGGTCACAAATCTCAGGTGTGAGAAAATCTCTTTCTTTCATATGCTGTATAAATAGAGGATATAAATATTTCAAGCCTGGAAGTAGTGAGAGAAGCTGGTAATCCTGGACATATAGTGACAGTCAAAAAGGAGCTCAGGTACAGGACTGGTCTAAGCTGCTCAAGGTTCAGGAGACAGCCAGTACACAGGGAAGCTGAGGAGATACGTAAGATATGTCTAAAACACTTATCTAACCTTCTGTGGTAACAAGCTCTTTAAAGGGGCTGGATGATGTTGTGTTCACTTTTTATCACCAGCAAAGGCTAAGATAATGTATATAGCAAATATTTAGTAACTATTTATTAAATAAATAAATATTTAAGACAGAATAAACAAATATAATAAATGAACCAATAAGAATGCACCATCTAAGTCAAAATAGTCACTTTTATCCTTAACATTGTACCTGCTTTGGCTGCCGCAGAAGCAAACTTGTTGGCATTAGACAAATCAAGCTGGTGATTTAATAAATTCCAATGTAAGTCTTACAAGTATTAATAAATAACTGTCCAGCACTCACCATGAAAGTTAAAAAAGCAACACAGAAAAAGTTCCTAAGTGGTCCCAATTTGAAATGATCAGATAACCTATAAAGGAACATATTCATATTACACTAATATAAACACATATAAATGCACTTACGGCAGTTACACAGTCTTCTCTTCAATAGCTAGTTTCCCTATGCATTAATGTGTAAGAACAGCAAGTACAATATTTAGATAATTATAAAAACCAAGGCAATAATTTAAAAACTGATTAACCGTTTTACTCTAACTTAAGCAGGGATCTGAGCAGTAAGATTGATTAATAAATTTGAATGCAGCCAATTGGATTGATTCTAATGTAAAGTTTTAATTTGTTGTAGAATAATTTTAAATGAGTGTATTTGTCCAGTGTTGGAGTGCTCAACAGTGTGTTTGAAAACGAAAACCAAGAAATGTTTTTGAGAAATGTGTTAATTCCTTAAGACCATGGATTTTAATTGGATCAAGTTGTTTGCATTTTTCTTCATTATCATTCTACATCTGTATATTGGACAGAACACTAACGCTAAATAGTTCTTAGAAAAAAATTTTAAAGTTATTTAATCATAATATCATGACTGTCTTTTAAATTCAAAATTAGGCTGTGAGTATCCTTCTTCACTTAGGAAGAGTGTTATGAAAGCCAGGCCATCTGCTGAGGTGCTACAGTTACATGTGGCCCTCAGAATGCGTTTGGCCTGCTCTGTTTTAGCCCTCTGTTGGATTACCAATACACAAAACAAGTTAACCTTGATCTTTCTCATTAAGTATCTCAGGGACAAAATTTGACATACGTCTAAACCTGTGACGTTTCCATCTAAAGAAGGCAGAAATAAAACAGGACTTTAGATTCGGTTACAATAAAATATCAGATGCGCCACAGACACAAGTCTTGAAGCTCTGTCCTGGGAAAATATGGCAAACAGTGCCTCACCTGAACAGAATCAAAATCACTGTTCAGTCATCAACAACAGCATCCCACTGATGCAGGGCAACCTCCCCACTCTGACCTTGTCTGGAAAGATCCGAGTGACAGTTACTTTCTTCCTTTTTCTACTCTCTGCGACCTTTAATTCTTCTTTCCTGCTGAAACTTCAGAAGTGGACACAGAAGAAAGAGAAAGGGAAAAAGCTGTCAAGAATGAAGCTGCTCTTAAAACATCTGACCTTAGCCAACCTGTTGGAGACTCTGATTGTCATGCCACTGGATGGGATGTGGAACATTACAGTCCAATGGTATGCTGGAGAGTTCCTCTGCAAAGTTCTCAGTTATCTAAAGCTTTTCTCCATGTATGCCCCAGCTTTCATGATGGTGGTGATCAGCCTGGACCGCTCCCTGGCTATCACGAGGCCCCTAGCTTTGAAAAGCAGCAGCAAGCTCGGACAGTCCATGGTTGGCCTGGCCTGGATCCTCAGTAGTGTCTTTGCAGGACCACAGGTAAGCCATTATACATAAACTTATTTGGATATGGTGATCATAGATTTCCTATCTAAATTTGATATAAGGTCTTATCAAAGGAAGTACTATATTACCTTTAAGAGCTTGGGCTCTGGAAGTCAGAGAGCGAAGTTTAATTCTGGCTCTGTTCTGTTACCTTGGGCAAATTTCTTAACCTCTCTGGTTTCAGTTCCTTTACTGATAAAATGTAACATGGGGGTTAATGCTTACTTAATACTGCTTTTGTGATGAATAAATAAATAAAGTGGATCACATAATATCTATTATGTAGCAAATGCTTCCCCCCAAAAATTGCGATTCTCAAACTTGACCTTATCACCATTCTATTCTTCTATTTTTCTTTTTGTTCTGGTTGACATGGCTTTAATGTTTAGTTGAGATAATTTTTAGGAATTATGAAATTTGCCTAGATAGAAAATATTTAAAATGTTTCTTATTTAAGGTTTCTTGAATGGAAATTTTAAGAATTCTGTCACTGCAGCTTAGAGAGAATTATTCTTGATTAGTATGTTGCTCTGCAGTTTGCAGCTAAATGGTACTGAATATAGAAGAAAAGTAAGACAACTTGGATGTATGGAAATCCAAATATTTCCCTAAAGTTAGCTTGAGTTTTGCTGGAGGCAGCTTATTGAGAAAGCCATATGGCTGACAGAGTAGGCACAGGCCCTCCCCACAGAGGGCAGTATCTTCCCAGGTTGCCTTCATCAGAGGCAGACCGGTTAACTGACCTACTGAACCTACCATTTTAACAATCAGATCCCTGAAAAAAAGGGACAAATTCTTGAAAATAACAAAGAACGTTAATAGCAGATGAACAAGTTTTCTCTTGCATGTAAATGTACTACATGCTAAACCCAGGATACAAGGATGTGTCAAGAAATAAATCAGAATTAACTAGGATCCTCCAAAACTTGCCTCTGAAAATGGAAATTTATCTAGACTTTTTAAACTGGCCAGATGGTCAAAAAACAACAACAAAAAAAAACTGCCATGCAGAATTCACTACATAGCACAAGACACTAGAAAGCTGGATAACTGTTTTATCCCATCAATTTCTCACTTTAATATTTCTTTTGAAAATGTGTATGTGTCATGATAAGAATAATGGGAAAAACTAAAATGTTTTCATTTTCTGAAAAAACATTTATGATTTCTTTCACAGTGATGGAATATATAAGAAAAACTTTAGCAAACAGATCACCTGAAATGAGGTGATTTAGCTAAGGCTTATGCTCTTAAAATTTTCCACATTCTTTCTTTATACTTTTGCACCTGTGGTCCCAGCTACTTGGGAGGTTGGGAGGGAGGTTGAGGTGGGAGGATCACTTGAGCCCAGCAGTACGAGACCAGACTGGGCTGGGGAGGCCCCGTATCAACAAATTATAAAAAAATAAAAATAAATAAATAAAAAATAAAAAAATTAATGCTGGTCATAATGGCATGTACCTGTGGTCTCAGCTACTCGGGAGGCTGAGGTGGGAGAATCGCTTGAGCCTAGGAGGCAGAAGTTGCAGAGAGCCATGATGCACCACTGCAACTGCACTCCAATCTCAGTGACAGAATGAGACCCTGTCTCACAAAAAAAAAAAAAAAAAGTTTTTGGGAAAATTTATGTAGGCTCAAATGGCCCAAATGGAGTGGAGTAAAACAAAGACTTTTTAAAAATCATCTGTCAATGAGATCATCAGGGGGCTAGGGTGGTATCAAAGATAATTGATAGTAAAAGAGACATTTCAAACAAAATACAAAACTTGACAACAAATTGGATTGAGAGAGTTAATAATAGAGCGGGGGAAATAAAGTTCCAGTTTTCTTAGCCAAGGAGTTTAAGTAGTAAAACCATTGACATTATCCGGTTGAGAAGGGGAGTGTTTGTTTGTCTACCTATTTGTTTGCAGAAGGGAGAGGGAAGGCAGGCTATGAGAAGTAAAATCATTTGCTTTAGGACATGACTGTTGGCAATATAAGATCTGTCTAAGTACAACTATGTGGAAAGTAGTTGGTAATTTGAGATGCTGATGTGGATTAAAATCCAAACCAAAGTAGAAATAATCCTATTTGCAATAATAACTGAAGGGCAAACTCACGATTTGATTCTTCTTAGAAGAAGTCTCCTAGAGGCTATAAATGAAATATTACTTTATCAATCCAATTCTTTTCATCTAAATATTAACAGCAATAATAGAAAGATAATGCCAAATATTTATCTAACTTGATGTAGCAAAAAGAAAATAGGAACTTAACTTTGAATTATTTAGGAATTTCATGTAATAGTCTGATCTCAAATACATTACTAGAGAGATTTATGTGAACATGAGCCACAGAAAATGATGTTATTTTATTTTGTAAAACACATGACTCATCCTTATTTTCAACAACACTTTAAAGCACTTTGCTGAAGCTTCCTGAATAACCTCACATAAGTAATGTTGTTTGATATTTACATTAACTCTATGAGGTAAATAGGAGCTGTGTTATTATCCCTACTTCACATCAGAGAGCTAAGGTCTAAACCTTTGAAGACAATGGTGTTAAAATCCTTTTCCAATAATCCAAAGTAAGAAACACACACTACATTGAAAATGTGTGTCTCTGTCTCTCTTTCTCTCACACATATAACTGAGAAAAAATTTTGATGAAATCAATATTCTATTCTGTTACATTTCATTTTTTACTGTTCATTGAAACTCACTGCTGAGCATATCCTGTTCAAAAAGCACTGATTTGAAAGGATCCATTGGCATTCCCAGTGTCACGTACTCTGTTGGACTCATGTTGTCTTATTCTTTTCTTTTATTATGGCTCTCTGCAATCTCTCTGAATAAAAGAGATTTCAATCCCATAACCAATGTTACATATATTTGATGAGGAATATGAGAAAGAGGGCTTTTTATTTCTAGACTGTGACACATGATGAGTGTGTCTCATGCTTCACCATGGTCTGTGGATAAGCCCATTGACAAAGGCACATCCTATTGTACCTAATTTATATGAAAAGGGTAACTTTAATTTTCATCCTTTGGTGGACATACTAATTTTCTATTACTTGAGTAATTCATATCTCAGTTGAAAAAAAATCTTAACAAACATGTTGTCACCACATGTGATAATTTGGTGGTGCGTTCTCAGAAGTTTTAGAATAGTGTGGCATAGAAACTTTCAAATTTTATGCTAGTAATAGAATTCTTTTTAAAAATTCTATATCACAATGTACCCCATAAATATGTACAATTATTATGTGTCTATCAAAAATTTTTTAAATGAAATATAGTACAAAAATCCTGTACATAAAAAAATCCTGTACAAAAAATCATCATGAATGACACAGAAATAAGTGGAGCTGCTCTGGTTAAAATAGAGGTAAAGGAGGACCAGTCCTCCACTTGGTTATTCACTAGCTCCCAGTCACAGTTACTAAAGACTTCGTATCTCCTTGCAACAAAGTTCAAAAGGCAATGGGGATAGTAAAAGTGGCATGAGTGTGAGATTCAAATGGAGTTGGGCTCAAATCTCAGTAATACTGCCTACCAGCTATGTGACTTTCAGCAAATTACTTACATTTAAAAGAGTAACTGTAAAGAATAAGTCATACAATTTATAAAATCACCTAAGACTTTATACCTTAATTTTAATTACTAATTTAATGTTTATTTTTCTTCTTTTCCTTTCTTCCTAAGCCCATCCTTTCTTCTTACCTTCATAAAAGAGTTTTTGAAGTCAGGAAAGAAAGAGTACAGAAATATGAGTATGGAATTGTTGGTCCTTTAAGAAACTGCAAAAAAGAAATGCTTGTATAAAAGTGGATTATTTCAAATATTTCAAAATTATAGCATGCATTCTGACTGATTACTAAATTTGGTCAAACTACTCCCTGGTCACAAAGCTATTGTACTCTGCAAAACTATACATGCCAGAGCACAGTAATTCAAGTCTTGGAGGTATCATATATAAAAGTGGGGAAAGAGGGAAAGAAAGAAGGGAAAGGAAGAGAAGGCAAAGGAAGGGAAGGGAAGGGAAGGAAAGGGAAAGAAGAGAAGGGAAGGGAAGGAAGAGAAGGGAAGGGAGGGAGAGAAGGGAAGGGAGGGAGAGAAGGGAAGGGGAGGAAAAAGGAGGAAAGGTAGAAAAGAAAAAACAAAGGAGGGAAGGAGGAAATGAAAAAGCAACAAACACCCTGGGATAGCTTTGGTTTTAAGGCCATCTGTGGTTAGGTTGGTAAATATAAATGGAAGAGAAGACATTTCCTAAATTAGATGTGCCCATATCTACTTATAAATCACATGGTTTCTAATAAGAGTCACTTAATACCACAAGAATTCCAGAGTAGCAGGTTATTTGCAGAAAGAGTTCATAGCTTATCTGTGTTAAGCTTAACACTAGTTTATCTGTGCTAATATAGAGCATCACATATTGACAGCTTTTAAATTACGTGGTTAACCCAGGCCTGCGGGCAAGAAATGTGGGCCTCTCCTTCATCCTTAGTGTAAAGATATGCTGTCTGAAGATGTGTGGAGGCTTGCCTTAATGCATAGAGAATTTACTGGTGTAGAATGCACTACTGACATTGGCAAACAGTTTAAATTCAATAAATATTATTACACAGGTACAATATGCCAAACATTGTGCTACAACATAGTACCGTCCTACTAGCAGAAATAACAACAGCAATAATGTTGATGATGATAAATAATGCTTGAGGACATAAATATGTGCCAGGAATTTGGCTAAAAGCTTTTACATGCTAGGTTCACAGAACAGGCAGTGAATAAATCCATAAATAAGCTTTTACATGCAATATTTCATATAATGCTTCCAACAATCACATAAATTATGTACAATCTTTACCTTTATTTTACACATGAAGAAACTAAACCTCCAATATTATATAACATGCCCAAGATTACTGTTTAATAAGTGGACATCTCAGTATATCAGTATATCTAGTTATCCATATATGGCCATATCCATAGCTAGCTCTTTTAACTGCTACACTCTACCCACCTCTGCCCACTGAACACTGCAATATTGTCTATTTCCTTTTCACCTGTAGGAGGCTGGGGAAGAAAAAGGCAGAAAAAGCTTGAAGTGAAAACTGATGCTTAAAAGACATCAAGAAAAAAATATATGATACACATTTATAAATATATAAATGCATGTGGATACATATAAAAATTGTGAACTTCAAGTTTTAATTATAATAATGGTTAAGATTTATACAGTGCTGTGTTCCAGGCACTATTCCAGGTGCTTTGCATGTATTAACTCATTTATTGTCATGATAGGCCTTAGAGGTAGATATTACTATTTTTTCCATATATAGATGAGGAAACTGAAGCACACATCTGAAGATAATTACCTTTGGATAACACTAGGTAAGGGTGTAATTAGTGTGGGTAAGGTGAGTGTTAAAGATAATATTCCAAGAAGAAATGAACAACTGCAATTGACTGTGAAAAAAAAAATGAAAACAGAATGTTCTTGTTTATGGCAAAATAAAACAAACGCTGATGAGAACCAGGGTCAGGGACAAGAGAGGAGAAACATACCAAAATTAAAGAAATAAAATCCAAGAACAAATGAACAACTAAAAGCAAAGTGGATCTCTATATTAATCATTCAAATGAACATGGTCTTGGAGCACAAAATAAATGGAACTAAGACAATAGCAAGTTAATTTATGGGCAAGTAAGATTCTGAATTTTTGTACACTTTATTATACCTTTCTTAAAATTTATCGGTCTATCTTGTATTACCTGGATCACATACATTTTATATCTCCACTACCAAATATTAAATTCCTTGATTGAAGGATATAACTGCTTTATCTTTTATGACAGAGAATGCCAGCTATAGTTAGTTTTACCAAAGAATTGCTTAAAAAATAAGCATGTGTTAAATAAGATAGCCATTAACTCAATTATAGTACTATGTTTCAAAGTCATTGCTAATTGAAAGTTTCATCAGGGCTTTTTTTTAAACATATTTTTTAAACTATAAATTTTTTTTCCAGTTACAAATGAACCAATTTGGACCACACACAACCCATCTTTTTAGAATCTTATAGCAGAACTCACCAAGTTGGTGTGAAAACGGAAAGAACAAGTAATGCCCGAGAGGCCTGAGCAAGAAATATAGACAAACACAGAAAAAAAAAAACACACTGTTTTTCAAATGTGTTCATCTCTCCTCAAAACTGGCATGCAACAACATTATACTTGTGACAAGAACTACTGTCAAACTCCACTCATTGGGCCAGAGACCTTTGTGGTGCTAGCGAAAAACTTGCTTCTCATGTAGCATACTACCTACGCTTGTGATTTCATCAGCCAGTCAGTGATATCATTATGCCTTTAAAACATGAAATATTAAGATGAAAATGTGGCCCAGAGCATAGAAAAAGTAAAATTCAGGTCATCCGGTTCCAAGTCCAACTGGGATGGTACAGAGAGAAGTAGCTAAAACCTTAAAGAAATTCTCGGGTTCTACGTGAAGTAACCATTCCAAAGACTTTAACTGACAGCCTCTGTTGGATCTAATTCAAAGCTGAACTTTAAATAAGGTCAGCTTGCAAAGAATTACAGAAAACTGAAAAGTTCACTTTGTAATGTGGGAAAAAAAAGTCTGAATCATAAGATAAACTTAGCTGAATGCACTTGTCGGGGTTTCTTGACTGCAGGATGATTGTAAAATTATTAGACGCCCTCTAGTGGATTAATTTAAAATCATTTTTTCCCCTTGAAGATTAAAAAAGATCTGAAACTGAAATCAACTTTTCAACTTATTTAACAGGGCCAAGGTTTCGTTCCCTTTTGAGGTGATGGAAATGGGAGCAGAGTATGTCTTTTTTTAAGAAAATAAAGTATCTTAAAAATATTTTATAGTGTTTTTTTGTTGGTAGCTTAGAAAAGAATCATGTTTCTTAATACTGTAATTAAAATTAAAATTTTCTAATTCAATCAAAAACAAAAAATAATAGAACCCCTCATTTGCTTAAAATAAAAAAATTGTAACATTTTTGTTTGAATATACTTTCTATCAATTTAAAAATGCTTACAGTCTCTTTTCATTTCATTTTAATAATGTTTCACAGTAAAATGAAATTTCTCAGGGAAAAAGCTTATAAATAACTAGGTAAGAAGTGTTTACTAAATAGAGAAATAATGAGTAAATGTCCATTAGAATTTATTTTTGAAAACTACTTGCAACATTTTCTTAATTGTTGATTCAGTTTGTGTTTTTAAAAGTTGTAGGATAAAGGCTTTTTAAAAATAATTTGACACTCAAAGAAAGGTTACAAGAATCATACAGATTTCTTGGGTACCTTCACCCAGATTTTCTCAAATATTAACATTTTACATTTGCTTATTTATTTTATCTTATCTACATTTTCCCAATTGCTTAAAAGTAAGTTGTAGACATGATTTTTCTTTACCCCTGAATACTTCGAAGTGTGTTTAAGGCCTCTCACACACAGCCGCAGTAATGATTGTCAAAATAAAAAATAAATTTAACATTGATATATTACCCCTATTTAATTTATATGTTCTATTCAGAGCCCATAAGTTGTCCCAGTTTAATTTTTGCCCTTTTAACAAAAGAAAATCCAAGATTATGTGGTGGATTTAGTTGCATACCTCTTTAGTATTCTTATAGCTGGAACCATTTCTCAGTCTTTTTTTGTGTTTCATGATATTGACATTTTTGGAGAGTGCAAACCAGTCATTTTGTAAAATGTCTCTCAGTTGGGATTTGTCCTCTCAAGGTTAGATTCAGGTTATACACTTTAAGCAAAAATACCAAATTAGTGATGCTAAGTTCTCAATGCATTACATAAGGAGACAGACATTGTCAATGGGTCCTATTATTGGCAATGTTAACATACTTATCTAGATATTTCTCTTCTATAGAGTTATTATTTTATTCCTTATAATGAATAAGTATCCTGCAGACTGATACTTTGAGATTTTGTAAATATCCTGTTCTCCTCAAAGTTCCATCCACTATTTTTACCAGCTATTGATGATTCTTGCTGTAATCACTTATTATAGTGATTACCAAATGTTAATCACTAATTCTGTTTATTCCTTTTCACTTATTAGTTGGCATTCTACATTATGGAAGAGGATTTTTTCACCCATTTATTTGTTGTTTTTGTTATTTTGTAATTTTTACAAGTATGGGCTCATGGATCCTTACTTTATTCAATAGTTTATCATTCTTTTAGATCAGTTTCTTTTTTGTATTTTAATGCTTAAACTGCCCCAGATTTGGCCAGTGGAAGCTCTTTTCAGCTGGTTCCTGGATTGTTTTTTTGTTTGCTTTTTGTTTTGACATGTTCCATCTTTCTTTGAGCAACTGTCTCTTTATGTCTTGTGACCATTTCTTAAAATGTCATTTTAATAGGGTTTCTGTCTCTAAAATAAAATTTAAATATGTATTTTGGGGGGTACATTCTAAGTGCCAGACACAGTTATAGTTACTGCAGATATAACTAATGAGCAAAATCACTTGCGAAAAGTTTACTCAGCATAATTGTACTGGAAACTGAAATACAAACAACATTTAAATCCTTGAAAGATGATTATTCTTCAAGGTTGAAATAATTGCTAAAAAATCCAAAATCTTGTAGATCTATTGACACTTACCCGAACATATTTTAAGTAAATAGTCACATGACTTTTCATAGAAACATCAGAAATATACTACTAAGGAACTTAGAAATTGCTTTAGGTAACATGCTAGAAGGCTAACAGAGTACCAAAGAGAAAACTTTCAAATACCATTTGGAAAAAAGTAACATAGCTTTTTATTATCTCATACAGTTATACATCTTCAGGATGATTCATCTAGCAGACAGCTCCGGACAGACAAAAGTTTTCTCTCAATGTGTAACACACTGCAGTTTTCCACAATGGTGGCATCAAGCATTTTATAACTTTTTCACCTTCAGCTGCCTCTTCATCATCCCTCTTCTCATCATGCTGATCTGCAATGCAAAAATCATCTTCACCCTGACACGGGTCCTTCATCAGGATCCCCACAGTATGTATTCCTTAGATTTAGTGTTATTTGTGGGCAGTTTTTAAACAGTGATACTCAACACAGAGTGGCATGAACTATGTGCCAGATACTGTTCTAAGCAGTTTGTATATATTAGCTCATTTAATATTCACAATCACCCCATAAGGTAACATTTTTATTATGCTTTTATCATCCTCAATTTACAGATAAGGTAACTTAGTATCTTCTGCTGTTCTACATTTGCATCATGAAATTAAAGAAGAATTAATGATTATTCCATTAAGACCCAGGATAAGCATTGGCAAATGGTTTCTGCTGGGTAGCAAGTACAAATTGTGATATCTAGACTATAGAAAAGTACAACCTGTTAAATGCTATCCAATAAACTAGCTAAAGTGAGCTGTTTCATTTTATATTCAAATCCCCTATATTTATACAACGTAAACTATGCACATTTGTGTGTATGTTAATATGCGAAATATTATTGACTATGTAATTGATGATTTCATTCAAAACTTCACACATGTGTTTGTACCTTTTTGGCTTTAGTAAAATGGTGCATTCCCAAAAATAAAACATATATTTATGAAATATAAACATTGTTATGTTGGCATGACATCCAAAATACATGTTATCAATGACATAGTACATAAGTTATATCTGGTACAACTTAACAGGGAAATCATCTTAACTATTATAGCATGAATAGTCTCAGTAGGTATTTTCAAAAGAAAATATTCATGGTGATGCTTTCTAATAGGGAATTGGGCAGTTTTCACCTGCCAGCACAAAATGGTATTTAATATTTCCAAAAAAGTATACTGCAAAAACAATTTGCCTTCAAAATCTTATCTTGAGAGATTCCATTTTATAAACGATATCTAAGAAGGGTAGAGGGAAAATAAGAAGGTGAATCTCAAATAGGAGTTAATCTGAAGAAATATTAGCAGTACATAAGCAGAAAAACAAAAAAGCAGAGGCAGGAAGCCATAACTATTATGAACACATTTATTTATTATTTTATTTATTTGATTAATACATACTGACTACTCAGCGTTGCTGGAAACTGTGCTAGGTGGGGATACCATGGTGAATAAGAAAAATCTAGTAAGTATCCTGCTTTCATGGAGACTACAGTCTAGCAGAAAAGTCATAAACAGTAAACCAATTATCGACTGTGATGATGTTTCAAAAGAAGAAAAAGCATGACATGTTGTGGTTGTCTTGATATTTTTTCATTTTCAGTCACTTGCTAAGCCAAGATGATTTTCTGAATTTTAAATGGATGTGTCACCAAAGTTTACAGATATTGAGGATTAAATGAATAGTGTGTGAAGGCCAGGTGCGGTGGCTCATGCCTGTAATCCCAGTACTTTGGGAGGCCGAGGCGGGTGGATTGCCTGAGGTCAGGAGTTCGAGGCCAGCCTGACCAACACGATGAAACCTGTCTCTGACAAAAACACAAAAATTAGCCGGGTGTGGTGGCACATGCCTGTAGTCCCAGCTACTCAGGAGGTTGAGGCAGGAGAATCGCTTGAACCCGGGAGGCAAAGGTTGCAGTGAGCCGAGATTGCATCATTGCACTCCAGCCTGGGCAGCAAGAGCGAAACTCTGTCTGAAAAAAAAAAATGAATAGTATGTGAAAAGAGCAAAGCCTCTAGCAAGGCACAGAGTAAATAGTAATTAGTTTTGTCTGCCAAAAATCCATAATCAGTCTGTATTTAATAAATTACTTTAATATTTCTAGACAAAAATAATTTCATAATTAAAACACCATGCATGTAAATGTTTTCCTCTATATGTCCACTCTTTGGTGACCAATTAATAAGAAATTTCAAAATGACGATTTCTGAATAGCATTATCTGTTTCCCTCAAAAAAAAATATAGTATGTGAAGAGTATTTCTTACTTAACACAGAAGTTCTCTATTATGAAATACAAGAACAGATTTTGAGCACTTCAGAATTGCACCTTTTTACCTTTAAGAACTAAGTTCAAAATTTCAGGTAGGCAGCCTGACTGTAAAAAGTCAGTAATTCCATTAATTTCCAGCAAATTTCTTCACAAGTGTAACCTATAAACTTTAAAGGCTCTATTAATATGAAAAGTGAAATTATTTCATCTATCGTAGAAAGAAGCACACAGTTGAGATAGATAATTTGGGGTAGTACACTTTCATCCACACATGATACTTACTGTCCTTAGTAGCAAAGATACTCAGTGAACATAATTTTGTTTTGAAGTCAGAATTCACAAAGCAAACAAAAACATAGAGTGGGGAAAGGACATCCTGTTCAACAAATGGTGCTGGGATAATTGGCTAGCCATGTGTAGAAGAATGAAACTAGATCCTCATCTCTCACCCTATACAAAAATCAACTCAACGTGAATCAAAGACTGAAATCTAAGACCTGAAACCGTAAAGATTCTAGAAGATAACATTGGAAACCCTTCGAGACATTGGCTTAGGCAAAGAGTTCATGACTAACAGCCCAAAAGCAAATGCAACAAAAACAAAGATAAATAGATGGGACTTAATTAAACTAAAAAGCTTCTGCACAGCAAAAGAAATAATCAGCAGAGTTAACAGACGACCCACAGAGTGGGAGAAAATCTTCACAATCTGTACTTCTGACAAAGGACTAATCCCAGAATCTACAGAGAATTCAAACAAATCAGCAAGAAGAAAACAAACAATCCTATCGAAAAGTGAGCTAAGGACATGAATAGACAATTCTCAAAAGAAGATATAAAATGGACAAGAAGCATAGGGGAAAATGCTCAACCTCACTAATGATCAGGGAAATGCAAATCAAAACCACAGTGTGATACCACCTCACTCCTGCAAGAATGGCCATAATCAAAAAATCAAAAAATAATAGATGTTTGCAGGGATGCAGTGAAAAGGGAACACTTCTACACTGTTGGTGGGAATGTTAACTAGTACAACCATCATGGAAAATAATGTGGAGATTCCTTAAAGAACTAAAAGTAGAACCATTGTTTGATCCAGCATTCTCACTACTAGGTATCTATCTGGGGGTGTGGGGGGTGGAAGGCATTATATGAAAAAGATACTTGCACAGGAATGTTTATAGCAGCATAGTTTGCAATTGCAAAAATACAGAACCAGCCCAAATGCCCATCAATCAATGAGTGGATAAAAATATGTGTTACATATATGCTATGGAATACTGCTCAGTGATAAAAAAGGAATGAAATAATGGCATTTGCAGCAACCTGGATGGAATTGGAGACAATTATTCTAAGTGAAGTAACTCAGGAACAGAAAACCAAACATCATATGTTCTCATTCATATGTGGAAGCTAAGCTATGATGACAAAAAGGCATAACAATGATACACTGGACTTTGGAAACTAGGGGGAAAGGGTGGGGGGTGGCAAGGGATAAAAGACTACACATTTGGTACAGCATACACTGAGATCTCAGAACTCACACCGAAGAACTTATTCATGTAGCCAAACACCATCAGTCCACCAAAAAAACCTATTAAAATTTAAAAAAAAAATTTTTAAAAAAGAATTCAACTGAGCTCAATCTCATCTACTCTCTTAAATTTATATGTTAAGACTTTGAGTATCCCATATTTCAAATCCAAATTAGTTTGGCAGAAATAGGAGCACTATCGTCTTCAATATTTTCTATTCATTATGTGACATAGTGGAAAACTCTCATTAAAACATGCTTTTCAAACAAATTATTATTATTTAAAATACTGGAAATTTTCTCCCATTGATTAAGTTGAATTAGTGATGCTGTCTTCCTTTTTGTCCACTTCGGTTTCGTGAGAAAACTGATCTTTAAACACCTGCTCTTTTCTCTATCCAATAGAACTACAACTGAATCAGTCCAAGAACAATATACCAAGAGCACGGCTGAAGACTCTAAAAATGACAGTTGCATTTGCCACTTCATTCACTGTCTGCTGGACTCCCTACTATGTCCTAGGAATTTGGTATTGGTTTGATCCTGAAATGTTAAACAGGGTGTCAGACCCAGTAAATCACTTCTTCTTTCTCTTTGCCTTTTTAAACCCATGCTTTGATCCACTTATCTATGGATATTTTTCTCTGTGATTGATAGACTACACAAGAAGTCATATGAAGAAGGGTAAGGTCATGAATCTCTCCATCTGGGAATATTAACACAAATGTTGGAGCATGTTTACATACAAACAAAGCAGGATTTACACTTAAGTTGTCCTTCTTTTAGAACCTCCATTTTCAGAGCCTCAATTATTAAGGAAAAATCTTCAGGAAAAATACTAAAATATTTTCTCGTCATCATCAGCTTCTAAATTAATCTCTGCCTTTTCTGACCTCATATAACACATTATGTAGGTTTCTTATCACTTTCTCTTTGCATAATAATGTACAAATATTTAAAATACCTGCAGCCTAAGGCACAAGAATGCCAAAAAATCAAAGGCGAGAAACCACAACACAGGTCTAAACTTAGCATGCTTTGGTGAGTTTTTCTCCAAAAGGGGCATATTAGCAATTAGAGTTTTATACTATATAGTACATAGAGCACAGAGCCCCTTGCCCATAAGATCAACTTTCCCTCCTGTAGTTAAAACGAAAAAAAAAAAAAACAAATGGATCTGTTTTTCTCTTTGGCTTCAAAAGCATTCCGACATTTGGAGGAGTCAGTCACCAACCCCACCAAGCACTCCACCAACCTGACAAGACCATGAGTAGTTCTCCTTCATCCTATTTATGTGGTACAGGTTGTGAAGTGCCTCTCTATAAAGGGAAATTTTAGAGGGGTTAGGATTTGGACAGAGGTTTAGAACATTCCTCTCTAGGCTGTATAGTCTATGGAGTTTGTGGCAATTAACTGCCGTAAAATAACAATGTTTCCAAATTCAACTAAGAAAATACTCATACTGAGTATGCTCTATGCATAATACGCCCTCTATTTTAATAATGTGAAGAATTTTTTGTCTATCCCTTGATCTCACTAAATCCATATTTTGTAAATAACTGAGAAAAATGAAAACAAAATTTAGCAAATGCACAAGCGAAAAGATGCTTGACACATAAAAAGAACTCTGGAGAGAAAACTACAGCTTCAGTCTGTACAGATCAAAGAAGACAGAGTGTGTTGGGGGAAGGAGGGAAAGATCTTGATGCAGGGTTTCTTAACCTGCAGTCTATGCACAACACTATATTTCCATGTAATATTTTTATTTCAGTCCTATTTGTATTATTTTGTGCATTTAAAAAACACAATCTTAAGGGGATAGACTAGACTGCCACAGCAGCCCGTGGCACAACTAACACCTACTGATATTCACATTGAATAGTATGGTTTCCAAAATATGTCTGCACAACAAGACCTCGTTATTTAATTCAGGCTTGTGTCTATCTCTTCTATGAAAAATGGGAAGGGATGAAAATAATGGGAGTATAATACCCATTTAATGTGAAAAACATGATAAGAGTCTTAAAAGAAATTAAGCTATTCAACATTTTTTAAATAGGTAAGATACTATTATATTTACATGAGCTATGTAGTGCCACACAAAAGATGAAATGTGATTTCTAAATACTCCAGGTGTGTGGTATTGTGGAAAGTAAATTGCCAACTAATGGTAAGTCCTTTCTTTCTTTGATTTTCTCCTCTCATACTTCAGTTTTATCGTGTTGAGTTGTTGTTTGTTTCACATCCTACCTTATTTTCCAATTCTGTCTCAATTGAACTCCCTCTGCGTACTCACTCTTTCATTCATAGCTTCTTTTTCATTAAACTCATACCTTTAATTAACCAATTCATGGCCCAGTTCTACAGTTGAATTGGACAAGGCTAAAATTCTGTAGTGTGCTAAAATGCTCAAAGTTGGCATGTATACTCACTCCAAGATTTTATAGTTCTCGTAGATAACACAGGGATGTAGATAAGTTGAAACAAAACTAATGTTCTCTAAGTCTCTGTCATATACTTATTCCTAAACTGATAATTCTTACTTCTGGGATTTAAAAGCAAAAATAACACACTTGTACAGATACAATCTAAGGGCTTTATCACACACAAGTTTAACGGATGTATCTCAGCTTGGTTCTTCTTGTGTGCTCATTATGGATCTCTCTTAGGAATTGCCTCGAGCATAATTTTATACACATTAACTAAAGGGCTATTCAAAATCTTGACTCAGGGGTTCTTAACCTACATTCCATGCAAAAAAAAAAAAAAATATATATATATATATAGAGAGAGAGAGAGAGAGAGAGTTGTATTTTTTAATTTTAGTCCTATTTGTATTATTTTATGCATTTAAAAACACAATCCTGAGAGGGATGGACCAGACTGCCACAGCAGCTCATAGCACAAAAAAAGGTTAAGAAGTCCTAGTTGACTTTGTATACACATAAAAAAGTCTATTACAATAAAAATATAACAGAATCTATTCATCAGTTTATATGCAAACATAAAAATGTAAATATTGAAACAAGATTGCTTCAATGTGCTTATTGTTTTCAAACCAAGAAACTCTCTTAAGGTTCAATATGTAATAAAAAACATAACAGAAATAATTATTCTATATGAATTTTGTGGTCCATAAATTATAATGTATAATTATACATTATAATGTAATGTATAAACTAAAATTTATAGCACAAAAGATAAATATGGCTTTGAAATTAAAGATAATCCACTCAACAGATAATATTTCATATTTGATATTACAATCATTTATTTTATGTCCTATTATAATAAAAGGTGAGGACTCCTTGTAAAAAAGGAAATGTTCTACAGAGTCAATCTAATATATCAGATATTTGAGATTCTATCTTGGTTTCTCTTCCTTAGCTTATAAAACTAGTTAAAAATTGAATTTCTTTTAGCAATTCAGTTTAGTACAGGAGTGACATTAACTAATGACAGTAAATTGAACAAAGTCTACATTAGTTCAATTTAAGCCTATTCAACAGAAATATAGTAGCTAAAAAAGTACTCTGGGGAAGGTACCACAAATATTATCTACCAGAGAACATAGGATAAATGAGTTTGAAATTTCCTGAGAGTGACCTTGTCTTAGAACTTAGGTGGTAGTCATAAACAGATAATATTTTTAGGCAGTTAAAACACTTCTAGAACTCCATCTATTTTACCTATGGTCCACTTTCCTACATTGAACCAATGCCTTCAGCTTTTCTAATTACTATACATTGTGCTTATATGAATAAAAGAAATTTTAAAAGAAAAAATCAGATTCAATCTAATCTTGCTTATTTTTATGATTATTAGGAATTAAGTTTAAAACAATTAGTCTAACTTTAAAAGTTATATAAAATATATGCATAGCAGCAATAGACAAATATATACAAAAACTGTTAATATAATTATCTGCGTGATTTCTTAAAAATCTCTTCCTTGTGAATTCCTGTAATTCCAAATTACCAAAATAAACTCATATTGTGTGTGTATTAAGACAAAACATAATAAAGGTTATATGTGTGTGTGTTTGTCTAACTTTTATTTTATACATCATTGTTTCTATTAGAAGGGGTTCTGTTGTAAGGAATAAAAATGTCAAACTAGAAGTGGCATTTTTCCATCTCATGTTATAGGATGTCCAGAGGTAGGCATGCAGAATCAGCTAAGTCAGAGCTTTGACTCAGCTTCTCTGATTATACTAGGCTTTCTTTTTTCTGACTAGAAGTTGGCTGTCACCATTCTAGGGGTCAAAGGCAGAAGGAAAGGGTCACTTCTCATTATGAATCTCTCTTTCCCATAACTCTCAGTACTTCCCCTTAAATTGGCTAGAACTGGGACACATGACTGACCCTAAACAAACCACTAGCAAAGAAGATTACCCTGAACACTTTAAGGGAATAATTTGTCTTGTGGGACAGGGCTCAATTTCTGTGAACACTTAGCAATCTGATAACTAAAAAAAATTGAAGGCTTTTTCTATTTTTTTATTTTTGGGGTGGGGAGGAAGAAGGAAGAAAAAGAGACCTTTTTCTGACCTTTTTGGTCAGAAAACTGCACTACCTGCCACAATCACCAATTAACTTTTCAAAACAAAATTTAGACTAGATATGCCACAAATTTAAGTAGCACATAACTTAAATGCAATGCATAAAACTAAATGAAGCTCCGAAACACAATGATTGCACAATAAATGTAGCTCTAAGGGAAAGGAACGGATTTTCATTGTTTTTCACAAATTAAATCCAAATATTTTAAACTCTAGTGGTTAGAATCTTTATCTGATGTATAGTGGGTAGGCTCTGCCTAATTACTTAGTTTCTTGGGAACACTTGGCTCCTGTTTTTTTCTTCATTTATTTATAACTAGTTCATTGGATAAGAATGTTCACATGTTTTAAAATTCTGGCCATCACTTCAGATTCAGAGAACAATTATCAAGTAAGTTAATAAATAAATGGCAACTTGAAATGGATTTCCTATAAAGCACATGAAACTTAATTTCCAAATTCCTCACTTATTTCAGTCCACTCTTGGGGCCCTGGAAAGTACGTTTTCACGTGATCACATGTTTTTAAAAAATCCACAACAACAAAAAAAATTTAATTGCAATTGGTTAAGACTATCTCTTTCCACTCTTACTTTCCCTCTGTCACCCTTCCCCTCAAATGAAGTGGTATTGAGATGGCCACGTATATTTTTGGGACCCAGCCAAGGGGAATTTGAATTAAGAATATCTTTAGATTGACTCTACAGGGATAGTGAGTGATTCCTGGTCGCTTTCATGTTATGCTAAGTCATTGTTAACCATTGCAAGAAACTTCCAGGCATAACACTAGAAAAAATACCTACTATGGTGACTTACCTGGCATAGTGACAGTAAAGTGTAGGGCTAGAGGTCATATCATAATATGAATGTGTCTAGACATATGGCAACCGAACTATGTAAGTGGTGAGAAGGAAACAAGACACAAAATGTACAGAAGCTTCTCTGTGGAAAATTATTGTACATGTACACCCAAAGGTGATTCCCAATAAGGTATACTCTTATATAATCCCCTTTCTTTGAGCATGATTGGAGCCTGTGACTTGCTTTCCATCATATTTTGCCTATGGCAAATTAATAAGATGTCATTCCTTGATCAGGTTACATTAGCAAGCAAAGGTGCTAGGATATCAGTCTTGTGATTACATTACATTATATAAGACTATCTTAGCAAACTGAATTGAGAAATTCACCCTTAAGCAAACAGCCATATTGTAAAATGCCTTTGCAGAGAGCTATGTGGCAGAGAACTGTGGACAGCCTTTAGGACCTGAGGGTAGCCCCCAGTGGACAGCTAATAAGAAGCTAGGGCCTTCAGTCAGACAGATAAATGAATTCTTTCAGCATTCTGAAAAAGCCTACAAGTGGATTCTTCCTTAGTCAAACCTCCAGATAAGCATACAATCTGGCAAGCACCTTGATTATAGTCCAGTGAAACCCTGAGCAAAAGATTCAGTTTGTAGCTGGACTCCTTACCCATACAAGCTGTGAGATAAACATGATGTATTCTTTTAAGACTTGAAGTTTGTGGCGATCTGTTATGCAACAATAGCAAACTAATATACTTAGCAGGAAAAGCATAAGGAAAAGATTTGATCCTTAACAAATCCTAGTCAAAATGGAAATTCTCTCTTTTCAGAAGTATACTGAACAATGCAGTAGTATATACAACTATAAACACCTCTACATTTTTTTCTTTTGATTGGAAATGTACAAGATCCAATTTATGAGAATTCCTGGGCTTCTAGGGCACAAAACCATGGCAGTACTAGAAACAGCAAGTACATCTTTTTTATGCATTGCAATGTGTCAGATTTCATGCTAGAATGTCATTAGTAATAAATAGTTGTAAAACTTAAAGAAATCTTTCAAAGCTATCAATATATAAAAAAGGTATTATAAAATATTGCTATACTAAAATATAATCAAGTAGCATGCAACCAAAATATTTTAGAAGAAAAAAAAGCACTTTAGAGTTATGTCAAGCAGTTAATAATAAAATATTACATTATTGTTATAGATTTGAAGATTACTGTGGTATTCGTCAGCAAAATGTTTTAGTTTTTTGTTGTCGTCAGAGATAGGGTCTCGCTCTTTCACCAGGTTGGAGTGGTGTGATAATAGCTCACTGCAACCTCCAACTCCTGAGCTCAAGCAATCCTCCTGCCTTAGCCTCCTAAGTAGCTGGGACTGCAGGTGTGAATTCCTATGCCTGGCTAATTTTTTTATTTTTATTCTTGTAGAGAAAGGGTCTCACTATGTTGCCCAGGCTGGTCTCAAAACTCCTGGCCTCAAGTGATCCTCCCACCTCAGCCTCTCAAACTACTGGGATTACAGGCATGGGCCACCTCATCTAGCAAAATACTTCCTTTTATACCTACTTATAGAAACCCTACCCATATGTAAAAACTTCAGACCTCAGAAAACATGGATCCTTACAATAGGAACTAAACCCCTGCATTATTTGTAAGACCACCTCCCAAATTAACATGCCAGTCCTGGTAAAGTGATTCACATCTTATTTGCTATGCTGAACTTACTAGCTCAGTGATCTCCCCAGAAAGCTAGGATAAAGTCCTGCCTTACTCTTGCCATTCTAATGCCTTTAATGCCTTCTCTCTAAAATTCTTGGAACTGAAGTCTGGGTTTTTTTTTTTGTTGTTTTGTTTTTTTGAGATGGAGTTTCGCTCTTGTCTCCCAGGCTGGAGTGCAATGGCCACTATCTCGGCTCACCACAGCCTCTGTCTCCCACGTGCAAGTGATTCTCCTGCCTCAGCTTCCCTAGTAGCTGGAATTACAGGTGCCCTGCCACCAAGCCCAGTCAATTTTTGTATTTTTAATAGAGACAGGGTGGTCTCAAACTTTTGTATTTTTAATAGAGTCCAGGATGGTCTCAAACTTTTGACCTCCACCAGCTTTGGCCTCCCAAAGTGTTGGGATTACAAGTGTGAGCCACTGTGCCTGGCCTGAAGTGTGCTCTTAAACCAATATTAATTGGGGAAGACACGCTAACTGATGGCAGGCTTTCCTGCTACAAACTATATGCCAGTCTATGTACCAAAATTGCTAATTATAGATTGCTAATTACTATGTTCAACCTACCTGATAGAATGTATCTTGCTATGCTCTAACCATTTCTTCCTTACTAGTTGCTCTCCTGAACTTTCCATTATCTATCACTAAATGTGCCAATTGTGTTCTACTTCCTGGGATGTACCTTCTATCATTATTAACAGCTGGTTCCTCTACAACAGCTGCCTACCCCAATAGATGTAGTTCCTGAAACCAAGTCCCCAAATTCTTCCCAAGTCCATTGCTATCAGATAACTATTTGATGACCAGCTAATTGACAAAATAAAACCATCATCAGATTAGTACCCTCAAATTCAATAGAAAACAGATTCCAAAGAAATAAATAAGCCAAAATTGACAGATCCATCAGAGAAGAGCATCTCAAATTCCCACCACTAAATTTTAAATCTTCCTAAACTACATTTTTTTTCTATTTTCATATCATGATGGAAGACTTGTCCCTCCTCCTCTTAAAGCTGAACCCCTCTACTTACGCTGTAGCTATCATACCCTCTTACACTTTGAGGACACAGTTTCTTCAACTATTCCCTCTTTTTCTCTCTTACACCATCGATGTCCCACTTTTTACCAAATTATTCTCACTGGCATGTAAAAATGCTTTCTTATCCTGAGTCTTCAAAAAAATCCTTTTCAACCATATATTCAATTTCAGCTTCATGTCCTACCACTTGTAAACTCCCCTTCACAGAAAATTTCTCCAGTTGTTAACACCAGATAACTCCCCTTCTTCTTTACTTCCCTTTTAATCTTCAATGCCTGTTAACTTGCCTTTTTTTTTTTTTTTTTTTTTTAAGACGGAGTCTCACTCTGTTGCCCAGGCTGAAGTGCAATCACACGATCTTGGCTCACTCCAACCTCTGCCTCCAAGTTCAAGCGATTCTCCTGCCTCAGCCTCCCAAGTGGCTGGGTTTACAGGCATGCACCACCATGCCTGGCTAATTTTTGTATAGACGAGGTTTCACCATGTTGGCCAGGCTGGTCTTGAACTCCTGACCACAAATGATCCACCCCGCTGAGCCTCCCAAAGTGCTGGGATTACAGGCATGAGCCATCACACCTGGTTCAATGCATGTTAACTTGGATCATGCTATGACTACTTGGTTGAAACTTTCCCTAAGTTCACCAAAGATCACCCTACTATCAAAACAAATGGAGATTTATCTCTTCTTTACTTACTTTAATATTCATTAATATTTAAACAATTGTTCATTCCTCTGCAAGGAGCTCAGGTAGAGGAAGACTTGGCCACATATGGGTGAATATTGGAGTAGGGGGATATGGGAAGAGGAGAAGGACTGATTTGGAATACACCATGTGACAAGGTAGTGAGTCAGAAGATTGCCAAGCAACAGGGAACTACATGGGAGCTAAATTGAAATCTTAGTCA